TATATTTTAAATCTTCTTTTAGAGTGAATTCCAGTTATACTTGTATGATTTGTTGTACACAGCAAAATGATCAAATGAATCCTTCTGCAACTCAAGTACCATACTTGAGTATCATACAATACTTTCACATAATATGCTGTGGACTAAGGTCATAGCCTATAAGGAAGATGAAATGTATTTACTTCCTTCCAGCCAAGCTGTTTCAATCCATCCCTGAATTTTATTTCATTCAGTATATTTTATGAAACTGCAACTTGTATACAAACTAATGCCCTTCAAGTGAAGTCCATCTACTCTTAAAGCAYTACTGTTTTGGGATTTTATTTTGGCAGAATTTTATGTACTGTGCTAATTCTTCTCAGTCTTTCCYTCTAGCCCCATAGGCCTGATTCCATATAGGGTCAATGTTTACAACTGTCACTGGAATTGTGTCTTCATCTATTATAAAAACAGATGCAAAAAAACATTTTACATGTTTTTTTGTAATGTAGGGATGTGTCTTTCTCCAGGAATAACCAGGGATTCCCTTRCACTTGAGTTCAGTCTGGGCTGCAAGCATTCTCCATTCCAATCCAGTAATGGCAATTCCCATTTCTGGGTAAAATACTAGTTCCCTTGCTCCCAGTTCAAGGCTACTTTTCAACAAATTATAGTTGTCTGGTTTTCAATATCTTTTTTTGGGACTAATAACATCTATGTAAGCTTCTTTATCTYACACAACAATTCAGTGAAAGAATTAGACCAGCTCTGAAGGAACTGTAGCTTAACACCCATTCTGACTTGCAATACTAACTTCTCTCTTTGCTGTAACTCTTRCTGCCTTTGTTTCAATTCTTTATTTTGGTTCTAGATCCTCTTTCTCTGAAAGGTTAGCAAAGACTCCAGCAATAAAAAGTTTTATCTTGTGATTTTGTAGTTTGTTGTAATTGCTCAAGCAGCTGGATAAACCACTGTYGGTCTGGTTACTTTTTTTGTCGCCTCTCCCTCTGCCCTGAAGTTGTGAACTTCTGTCTGGAATAGAGCAAGCAATGAAGCAAGCAAATTCCTTGACCCTAGGAAGACAGAATGATAAAGATTGGGTCATCATCCTATGCATGTACTGTTTCTGAGGATGCTCTAAAGCCAAGGATGTTTCATTATGCAGAAGCGCACTGTGAGTCTTGCTTCCAAACTATTAACATCAGCAAAATCCAAATCCAGGTTTGGCATGCAAACATACATCTCTCTAACCTGTAGAGATGTTAAACACAAAAAAATCCACTACCTGTAATCCTCTGTCTTCAGGCCTTCCCCATAAATTCAGTAAAGCATCCTTTATCATGTCCTGTACCAAAAGAAATGCGATCCCTCCCAATAAAAATGAAAGTAAAAGGAATGATGGAATTGTTTTGGTCTAAAGRGCCCTTTTAAATATCACCCAGTTCAACTTCCCTGTGTTAAGCAGGGACACCTTCCACTAGATCAGATTGCTCAAAGCCACATCCAGCCTGGCCTTGAACACTTTCAGGGATGGGAGCATCCAGCAGCACTGCTGGGCAACTTGTTCCAGTGTCTCACCACTGTCAGTACAAACAATTTTTTCCTTGTATCCAATCTAAATCMTCTCACTTTAAACCCCCTTGTCCTGCCACTACAGTCCCTGCTAAAMAGTGTGTTTCTTATAAGCCCCCTTCATATATTAAAAGCTCTCCTCATAGCCTCTGGTAGAGGCTGAGCAGTCCCGGTTCTCTCAGCTTTTTTTTTCCAGCGCAGGCGTTCCAACCATCTGATTGTTTCCATGGCCTTCTTCTGGATCTACTCTATCAGGATCATGTCTTTCTTGTACTTCAAATGGGATTTCCTAAGAGCGGAATTGGAGGGAGAGAATCACCTCCCCTATCGAGCCCAAAGGCTGCAGCCTTTTACAGATCCACCAAGCTCCTCCAGCCCTGGATATAGCTCATCAAAGCCCAAATTGGAGGCACTGCCCCAGCCTGCCTCCTGCAGAACCATTCCTCTCTCTCTCTGCCCTCAAGCAARGAAGAGGCCTGTAGGAAGCAGATCCTGTGAGGTGGAATAGTGCTTTTTATGATGCCAATGTCCCCTGTTACACAACTGGCATGAAAACTCCCCTCCCAGAAAGTACTGGGACATTCAATGTGTCCCTTCTGATAGGGATAATTCACTCAACTAGGCTGACTTGAGAGGCATCTGTCATGGCTTAGAAGGTGTCATAAATCACCAAAGGCCCTTGAAGCACCCTCAGACTCATTGCTAGGGCCTCTCACCAGAGGGCTGCGCCAGATCTGCAGTGGTACCTCAGACTGTACCTCAGACTGTGTCAAACCCCTTCTCCTCCCATTCCCCCCCAGGGGAGGTACCTGAGCATTCCCACCTGAACATACATTAACATACATGAACTGTGTTTCAGGGTTTCYCCCACACCCGATGGATCAAGACTGTGACCATCATTTTGACTAATGGATATAAATTGCAACAATCAAGTCCCATCACTGGCTCCACGGCTGGTGACATCTTTCTACTCTTTTCTCTTTCTTTTCCTTATCTGTTTTCTTAAGTGTTATTTTTATGCCTTTATACTGCTATATTTCTACAGATAATAAACAAAATGGCTACATACCTCCTTTCCATTGCAATGAAACTGTTCTGAAATGAATCTGGCATCTATATTTTTATGAACACTGGTCTTTTAGTATCGTTTCACTCTAATCTATCCCAAGTGATCTATTACTAACAAGTTCAGATACCCCACTTTTGTAACACCCTACTGCTGTATCTCCCAGCAAAGGTGCTTCTGCTGGGTGGGAACTGTGTTGATTTTGTTTGGCCCAGTTTTTGGAAGTGGAGGGACCAAAAAGATGGCTCCTGTGAGAAGCTTCTGGAGGCTTCYAYCATGTCCAGCAGAGCYRATTGCTGTTGGYTCTGAGGATGATGGACATGCCACTGACCAAACCTGGGCCAATTGGAGGTGGTGGTTATGTCTCTGTGAAAACTTATTTAAGAGGAAATCAAAACAAAGGGAGCACACAGTAGTTTTGCCAGAGGAGGAGGAGGCTGAGAATATGTGAGGGAATGTGGACACCAAGGTCAGTGCAGGAGGGGGAGAAGCTGCTCCAGGCACCAGAGCTGGGATTCCTTTGCAGCCCATGGTGACCATGGTGGAGCAGGCTGTCCCCCTGCAGCCCATGGTGACCATGGTGGAGCAGCTGTCCCCGTGCAGCCCATGGTGACCATGGTGGAGCA